TGGAAATCTGCTCCTCAGACAATGGATGTGTGACACTAGGTTGAGATTGCTCAGCGATCTTTGAAACCATAGTGGCCTATGAATGAAACATAAATAAGCTTAAAACATAATATCAAAATGCAAACATTTATTATTGAAATTGAAATAGTTATGGTTACATGATGTTCCTCAGCTGTGTTATTTATCCACACTCCCCCATGTCGGTGACGTTTGTGGGTGTCCTCGAATAGTTTCGTAATAGTCGGTTTGCTTCCTTGTACCTTTCGTTTCATTAGATTTTCTAGTCAATCAAAAAATTATATATTTATAATTTAGTATGTTCAAATTTGTAAATCTACACTTACAATGATAGATGCTCGCGATGCAAATGATCTCGAGCCACTCGTATGATTATACTTCACACAACCTCTCGCTTTCATCGCATTCTCTGACTTTACCTACAAATTAAAAAAAAATATTAGGTATTAATATACAGGAAGATGTTACTTTAGTAAATATTTTTATAAATACCTTCCAATCATCAGTTTCCCACAAATTGTCAATCATCCATTCCCAATCATCCTTTGTACAAGGATATAGTATCTGACTTTTGAGGTCAGATACATTGTTTTCTTTAAGGGATTTGTAGTGTGTGTGTAATCTACTTTTCCATTCACTGTACAAAGTTTGGCACTTATGATCAATAATACATCTCACATCCACATCATTATTGTAGTCCCCAAAGTCAAAAGTTTGCTGCAATTGGAAATAATAAAATTCAATATATTTTATATATCATTGCGATTAACATAAATAACATGTTAAATATATAACACATATATTTCAAATTACCCCAACTCTTGTAACAATGGACTCTCTTAACCCAAAGGCAATTTCTAGCCATCCATCATTTCGAACTGGGGCATGAACTCGAATTTGTTGACCAAGAGCAGCTGCTAGCGGTGTGGCGTATTCCCCTTCTATTGCTTTGGTCAAACGGTTAAGTGTAACGGGTATTCGATCACCACGTTCCTTTCTAATCTTCTCAACATTCTTTCCTCGGGTCGGTCCTCGTACACGTTTCTTGCCCAAAACTGGAATTGATGCTATTATGACCAAAATTTTATTCAATTTAGTCGACATAAAACATGAATGCACTAAATAAATATTGAGACAAGAAATTATCATTTCATTTAAGTGGTCATTTATTTCTCACCTCCACTGTTAGTCACAATACATGGACTTGAAAGGTGGTTAGGTTGAGTGGCGGAGGTAGGGAGCTGATCGGGCCTAGTATGTAAGGCGGGAAGATGGATAGGTTGGGTCGAGACCTCAGGTGTGCTCTCTGAATGATTAACTTGTGCAGTTACAGGTCGTCTCGGAAGAGTAAGTGTATCTTCATCAACAGTAGTTCTCTTTTCCCTAGGTATTTGTGAAGCTATTAGGCGAGCTGCACACCTATTTGTTTTCCTACCGGGACCCATATGAATATCCTGACATAATATAAAAAAGAATTGTTAGTACAGTTTCAATAATTTAAGGTTGCTTAATAAAAAATAAATTTGAAATAACTAAACATACCACAAGTAATATAACAAGTGAAAAAAATAGAGAAATTACTTTTTAAACACACATTTATTACCTTAATCACTTGAGAATCAAAAGGCTCGCCATTATCACTTGAAGAACTCAGTCCTTCATCATCATCAAGTGGTTGATAGTCCTCGTCATTATCAGTTTCGCCCACCTTTCTCTTTCCCACCCTACAACTTTCACTATTGTCCTTTTCAATAGAACCAAACATTGAATTCTTGAGGGACTTTATCCCTAGAGCATCAAATCTGATTTTATTTTTCTGGATTGTTTTTTTCCTATCCTTCTCATATTTCGTCATCTTCTGGACTAAGCCGCCGGGCTTAAGAAATGATTTACCGTTTCTGGACATCTTTGTAACTGTACATATGGCATATAATTAAATGAAATGAAATAGAGAAACAATGCTATGAAATTTGAAAAACAATGCCATGCAATGTAAACCAAGCAATTTATTATTAAATTATAACACTTGTCCATATAATTAAAAATTAAACACTACATATCATAATCTATATCAAGATCTATATCAAACACTACATATCATAATCTATATCAAGATCTATATCAAACACTACATATCATAATCTATATCAAGATCTATATCAAACACTACATATCATAATCTATATCAAGATCTATATCAAACACTACATATCATAATCTATATCAAGATCTATATCAAACACTACATATCATAATCTATATCAAGATCTATATCAGGATCTACATCAACATCAGGTTGTCTATGCAGTTCATCATCTTCATCATCATTATACTCTATGATTGTGTCGTCCTCGTCATCATTGTGAACTAAATTCTCTGCCATTAGTTGATCATTGAAAATGATCTCAGGATCCATATCACCCCTGCTGTATTGAACATCATTATCTTGGATCACTACCCCAACACCATCAGTGGTTTCATCCTGTTGAAAAGCATCATTAGAGACATCATCCCGCTCTGGTATATCCCATACTCCCCGATGCTTAACACGTTCAACGACTCTCCAATTTTTGCCTTTGCTGGTATCATTGACATAGAATACTTGTCTTACTTGACTAGGTAGAACAAATTGGTCATCTTTATACCAAAGTCTTGTAACATCAATACTTGTGACATGTTCATCGGAGTATATTCTATTCTTGTGACCGGTGTCATACCATTCACATTGGAACAAAACCACTGTACCCCCATGCAAGTATTTCAATTCCCATATTTTGCACAAGTAGCCGTAAAAATTAATTTGGTTCCCATTATGGTCCCCTTCTACGACCAACCCACTATTTTGGCAGGTACGACGATTTTCACGGTTTCTAGTATGGAATCGAATTCCATTGTAGATGCACCCAGAATAAAAGTCAATTACCGATCCAGGCCCATTTGCTAATGACCACAATTCGTCAGTTGCTTCAGGTGACCCTTTCGTTCGCAAATCATTCATCTACATAAAACACCATATGACAAGTGTACTAAGTTAATGTGAATTGAAAGTTTCAACAATTGTATTCAGTTATTTTCTTTAGTATATCTTACACGATTTTTGAACCATTTTGGAAATTCTTCCCGTTGTACCCGACTTATGTCACGTCCTTGTACATTATGTAAAATATTCTTCTGCTCCCTACCCAAGGAAATGTGATATACGTAATTAACTTTGAGAGTTCGAAACAAAATGGAACGATTATGCATAAACGTAATTAAACTTAAATACATACTCAATATATGGCTCCACCTCAGAGCTATTGTACAACACAAACCAGTGAGCCATTTCTCGTTCATTTTGCGAAGGGTCAAGAGCCCTTGTGATAGGTGAGAATAGACGAGCATTTTGGGTAAAGACCTCCATCCCGGGACCACGTTCACCACCATCATCATTTCGTTCAGGTTTATCAATCCCTTTTAAGTACATTGAACAAAAAGTAAGACACTCTTTGACAATGTAAGCCTCAGCGATAGAACCTTCTGGACGTGCTCTATTACTGACATACCCTTTCAAAGTCCCGAGAAACCTTCAACAAAAATTGACAATGAAAATTATGCTTCTTGATGCAAGAAAATTACTTCTTAAACATTAGTCTTTTATGGGTGGATTTTTGTACAATAGTTTAGTTATAACAAATTAATAAATAGCCATATGTTCATAATGATTACCTTTCAATCGGGTACATCCATCGATATTGCACCGGTCCAGCAAACATGGCCTCACGGGGCAAGTGAACAGCCAAATGGACCATCACATCAAAGAAAGCTGGAGGAAAAATTTTCTCCAACTTGCAAAGTATGAGCACAATTCGTTCTTCCATTTTTTCCAAATCAGTCTGCCTTAATGTTTTTGAGCACAGTTCTTGGAAGAAGTTGCCCAACTCAAATAGTGTTGTACAGATCTCCTTGTTCACAAAACCATGCATGCCAATTGGTAGAAGTCGCTGAAGCAGGACATGACAATCATGGCTTTTCATGCCTGATAATCTTCCATTTTTAGAAGTCACACATCTTGAGATGTTTGCTGCATAGCCATCTGGATAACTAATCGACTTCAAGAATTCACAAAAACCATCTATTTGTCGAGAATCCAATGTGTAGGCTGCCCGAGGCTTTACAACGGATCCGTTATCTTTCCTCTGTAGATGCAATTCTTGCCTTATGCCCATTTCTTGCAAATCATCACGTGCTTTGTACGTGTCCTTGTTTTTCCCATCTATGGCCAACATCGTCCCGTAAAAGTTTTCACAAATATTCTTCTCAATGTGCATGACATCAAGATTGTGTCGGAGGTTTAATTTCTTCCAATACGGTAGCTCCCACATTATGCTTTTCTTTGTCCAATTCAATTCTTCAGACTCTCGTGGTCTTTTCTTGTTGGTAGGATCCTTTCCAAACTTGACTTCCCGCAATTGATCCAATTGAGCCATTACTTTTTCCACCGGTAAATCCAAGGATTTCTTTCTAAGCTCAGTTAAACCATCAAACTTCTTGTCTTTCCTCCAAAGGTGGTTATCAGGCAAGTAAGCTCGATGACCCACCCACCCAATCTTACTGATCAACCCGCGTGACAATGGATTATCATTACAAGGAGGGCAAGACAAATAACCTTTAGTTCTCCATCCGGATATGTCACCATATGCAGGGAAGTCATTTATGGTCCACATTACAGCTGCATGCATCCGGAAGGTCTGTTCAGTGGAGGCATCGTAAGTCATCACGCCATTCTCCCATAACTCCTTCAACTCATCAATCAATGGCCTTAGGTAGACATCAATATCAGTCCCTGGTTGATTAGGTCCAGGAATAAGTAAGGACATCATGAAAAATGGGGCCTTCATACATCTCCAAGGTGGGAGGTTATAGGGCATGAGTATGACAGGCCACATGCTATAGGAAGTGCTCATGTTCCCAAAAGGGTTGAACCCATCGGTGGCTAGGCCCAACCTAACATTGCGAGTCTCCTGGGCAAACTCTGGATAATGCAAATTAAATTCCTTCCACTCTTTACAATCAGCCGGATGCCTCCCTACACCATCATCCACACGCTTATCACTATGCCATCTCATGTCTTTTGCCGTCTTCCTAGACATGTACAATCTTCTCAACCTAGGTGTCAATGGGAAGTAACGCAATATCTTGTGAGGGATCTTCTTACCCTTGCTATCATTTACTCTGTACCTAGATGCTTGACATGTGGGACATTTTTCCAAGTGAGCATTCTCCTTCCAGAATAGTACACAATCATGTTTACATGCATCGATGAGCTCGTACCCCAAGCCCAAGTCACGTAGCAACTTCTTGCACTCGTAAATTGACCCTGGCACCACGTGGCCTTCTGGTAAGAATCGCCTTTGTATCTCCAAAACCTTGTCAAAAGACTTATTACTCCACCTATTTTCTACCTTCACATGTAGCATCTGAATAACGAATGATAACAAAGTATCTGAGTTTTTGCAACCTGGGTACAAGCAACATTGGGAAGCATCTAGCAATTTATCAAAATGTCGTACATCCTCTCTTTCTAGAGTATCACCCTCCATAAAATTCCCCCTCTGATAGTCCTCTATCAGTTCATCATATTCATCTTCATCCTCATCATTCTCACCATTGCTTTCATCAAGGTTATTGTGTTCTGGAAGTTCACCGTGTTCTAATCAAGTGGTGTATGATACTATCATCCCACTTATGAGCAAATGAGCCTTCACACTATCATACTCCTGCTTATAAAAGTTACAACAATTGATGCATGGGCACTTAATCTCTCTAGCCTCACCCAAATGAGCCTTTGCAAATTCAATAAATGAGTTCACCCCATCTACATATGGCTGACTGAATCTATCAGAAATTAACATCCAACTCCTGTCCATGTCTGATCATAAGATAGTAGTTAATATCAACAGGACACAACCTTTTATTTTTTATTTTTTATTTATTTATTCTTTAAACATGAAGACAAAGTAGTTAATATAAGTGTAGAGTGACACATCATCGTCAATAAAGGTGCATCTACCTATAGGCTTTTTTAATTTTGTATCAAGGTTTCGACCAACAAATCCTTTAAAGTTCTATTATATTGCATATATTATGTATTAAGTTAAGTGTTTTTTACATTTATCAACAAAAAAACAAGAAAATATATATTTTTTTAATGTCTATTAAATGGTAAAAGGCAGTTGGCATGGCAATGTACCATTCCAATTCATTCCAATATCTTTCTTAAAGGACATTACCTAATGGGCTCCTACAAATTAAGGGCATAGGGAAGGACTAAGGGTGGCTACAGGCCTAACCTCTGTAATATTTGTGGGAAGGGACTACATTTATAATTCCAACCCATATTTTCATACACGGGAACTCAAGCATTTACCACTACACCAATCAATACCCCCTCTTTGATGAAACTTCTATGTTTATCTAAAAGGGATTTTCAGCTCTCCTAAAAAGCCCTACCACAAATTACATCCAGCCACTGCCTCTAAATTTTCTATTAATGAACCAATTTAAAAGTCGGGAACCAAAGTGACACAAACCTCAAACTATAGGGAGCGTTAGTATAATTCGCCCAAGATAAAAAGATCAAAAATAAAAAGTGCACTTTTGTAGTACACCCAAACACTCTCTTAGCTTAAAAAACCATCTAAAACCCAACTTAAAAAACTAAACTATTTAAACTTTTTTTGAGCTGAAAAGGAAAATAAGCTGAAAACAAAATAAGTGGAACCAAACACCCTACAATTTTAGGTACAACTACTAACGCATGTGTTTTCAAAATTTAAACAAAATAAGTTGCAAATAAGTGGAAACCAAACAGCCTTTTTATATACAACTACTAAAGCATGTGTTCTCAAATTTTAAATTAAGTTGGTTGCAAATTTTAACTACTAAAGCATGTGCTTTCAATTACTACATTGTATTTATGCTTTTATATTCACATTCAAACACGTAAAAAATCAGAAGTTGGCCCTTAAGCTTTATGGTATAATATCTTACTGCATCCTCTATTTCTAACATTACATTGTCTCCAGAGTGTTCTTATACTGGATGCAATAGACCATTTCCTTTGTGAGACAGAATTTCAACTCCTGAATAGGTGCTTCAGTGAGCAAGGCTACATGAAAGAGAATCCCAGTAAGCTTCAGCATGGAAGTGGGTTAGTTAAGGTATGACAAATAAGCCACCTCTATGCCCTGGGGGCAAGGATGAAATGTCAACACTCATAGTAGGGGCACTAACAGGCTCAGAATTGGTGACTTGTATTGGGTTTAAGATGGAACAGATTTTAAAGCCTCTCTTATTCATATGCACCAGTAGAAGTGTTCTTATTTTATTACCTTACATAAATAGTCACTGTGGGTTCTTATTAATATTTGAAGTAAGAGGCCCACTGAGAAGATGAATAAATTCCTGGTGAATGGGCACAGGCATCCTCTCATACAGAGGCAAATCCATGTTCTAACCTACACGTTTGATGTGGATTCAGGTTAGGTGTTCATTAAAATTTCATATCCTTTTAGTTTTGCATTTCAAAATGATATTGTACTGGACAACCCGTAAAGGCCCCATCTTCCCCAACTCAAGCATGGAATTTGTTTGGAAAAAGCATCCTTCAGAGAACCCCAAAATCAAAATAATAGAAGAAGTGAAAATAGACAAACATAGATTCATTTCAGAAATTGAGAGAGAGAAGTAGGGACATTGAGATACAAAGCAAAAGGGAACAAACATGTAAGGGCAGACTGAAGCACCGATCTCGCATGGCAGCAGCAAACGGCACAAACCCTACGATCAAGAGTGAAATCGTGAGGGAGAGAACTACGAATTCTGAGATAAGGATTGAACGAGTGAAATCGTGGTGATTGATTTGGGGAGATTTGATGAGGGAAAAAAAAAAGGAGGGAATTTTAAGAGGGAAATGTCACCGATCCCCTGATCTTTACCTGCTCTACCCCAAAAAAATAAATAAAATAATATAAAATAAATTATTCAAAATAATTTTTAGATTTGTTTTTTTAAAAAAAAATTAAAAATAATTTCAGAGCAATAAAAATCAAAATTATATTTTTAAAATTTTAAAAAGTATTTATGACTTAAAAGATAAAAACAAAAAAAAAACAAAAAAAAAAATTTAGATTTGTTTTTTTTGAAAAAATTAAAAATAATTTGAAAGCAATAAAAATCAAAATTATATTTTTCAAATTTTAAAAAGTATTTATGACCTAAAAGATAAAAATATACAAAAATAATAAGTTTTTTTTTTCACCCAAATTTTTTTTTTAGTTTTTTAGGGAAAAAACATTTGAAACTAGTTTCTGAAAATAAAAACAAACATATTGAAATTGATAATCTAACCATATTCTTTGAAAAAGTTTAAATTATCTCAAATTAGTCATCTCAACTTAAGAGTGTGTTTGGGCTCAATGGGTTCATTTTGTGATCTAATTCAATGATCATTTTAATTTTACAATTCAGTAACTAAAATATTTAAAACTCTTTCAAAAATTATTATCAAAAACACAAATCACTAAATCACATCATTCCACTAGTAAAACTTTTACCGACGAATAGTGTCATCGTCACTAAATGGTTAACTCTTTGCCCACCCAAATTTGTCATCGGCAAAAGTAAGCACACTAATAGCAACGCTCATTGTGTTGCTAAAACATAAGCCTCGTAGCTAAAAATTTTGAAATTTTGGCGCCAACCAATAATTTTGGCGCTTAATGAATGTTATACTTTTTTAGCGACGGTAGTAAATTGCGTCGGTAAAAGTCTACCTTTACCAACGAAATTTGTCACTGTGTCGCCAAAAATATACTTTTGGCTATGAAAATTGACATCGTCGCTAAAAGTAGTCGCGAAAAATGCAATTTCTTGTAGTGGAGCGAGGTATCAAGCTAAGTGCGAAGCACAGACTGGAATGGATCAAGATATTCCACTCCCTCATTTGGACAGGTCTGATCACATCCGAGTTGGCCAAGCGCATCGTCAACCGATATCAGTTATGGATCTACTGCACATCCTGTCGCAACCCCTCTGTGGGAGAAACTCACTGGTTGTGAGCAGAAGAAGAAGAATCTAGCAGAATGCTAGGGGCAAGAGCCCGCAACTTCTTGTTTATCCATCAACCACCCAGGGGAGGGATAAAAAATGAGAGATTGAAGAATAGAGAGGTGTGCACTGAGAGAAAAAGTGAGAAAAGGGTTTTTTCAGAAAAACAGAGCCTGAGCACCGAGTGATGTAAGAAACACAATTGAGTAAGGGTGGGAAACAATACCCGAAGAAACTGGCTCCTCATGAACTGAGAGGTCTCCCACTGGTGGTACACATTTTAGTGTTGTGTTTGTTGTTTTTGTTTGTCTCGATTCTTGTATTGAGTCATTTTGAGTATCAATAGATGTGTTTAGGTTGTTTTACCTTTGTTTTCTTTTGTTGAGTCATGGTGTGTTGTGTTCAGTCATAGGCTCAATACCCAGTTAAGAACTCATTTCTTAATTTCAAAAATAAAATCGTTTTGTCCTCAGAGTGCCGTGCCGCTCTCTACATGTATGCAAAACAGGATTTGTTCTTTCATAAAACAGCAGGGTTCAACCCAAGTCATGTGGAAACAGTAAAAATAGGACCTATCTAAAGCTATATGGGTTCTAGACTACAAAGCAAAAGAAAAGAGGAAAAATTTGGAGCATCTGAGTGTGTTTCAACTTCAGAAAATTCCATGATTGTACTCCGGATATACCTCTTCAGGGCCTTGTCAATGCTCCAAAGTATGAGTGTACCTCTACCTCAAGCTCAAGCCTATTTCAAAGCCAGAATGGCGATCAGAAGTGCTCTCCATGAGTACTAGTGCCTGCTAGAGGCATCTTGGGCGTGTTTGCAATGAGTTCCTAGGAGACCAACTACGACAGTGGAAACTAGAGTTCGAATGGTTGATGCCTAGAACGCAAAGGTTTGGAATTTCCGAGACTAAAGTCTGGTTTAAGTACCCAGGGGTGTATCCTCGGCTTGAAATTTGTATGGCAGCCCCATAGATTGAGATAGCATGTGTATGCGCCTCAATTGTGGATATTGAGCCAACCTAGTCTGTCACCCCGTTGGAGAGTAGGAAGGGAAAGTTGTGAATATGATCAGGAGGAAAAGCACCATTTGTGGTTTCTACATGCAGAAGTTACCCCTTGTCAGCATTTCCAGACCTTTGTACTGTGAGTTGAAGGTAAGAGTTCGAAGAACACAATGGGAGATCCCCGTTCGAGTAGAGTGGTTCATCGCCACTCGCCTCATGAGGTGCTTGCTAAAGCGCCGCTTTGTTTGATTATTGTATTCCCTAAGCGTTATGCCCTACATTGCTTGTAACATGTTATAACATGTATCATATCATTGCACTTATTGCATTCATTTGCATTTTTTGTTATCTTGTATCTTTTATCCTTTCACATCAAGCAGCATTCAGGATCATTGTCCTCTGGGCCTTTCTCAGGTTGCGCCGAGCATGCTCCTGATTGATTGCTTTGTTTACCTCTTCTCACAATTTCAGCGTGGTTAGAGTTTGTTCCTTCCTCACACGATTTCAGCATGTTTGGAATTTGTTTACCTCTTCTCACGATTTCAGCGTGTTTGGAATTTGTTTACCGCTTCTCATGATTTCAACGTGGTTAGAGTTTGTTCCTTCCTCACACGATTTCAGCATGTTTGGAATTTGTGTACCTCTTCTCACGATTTCAGCATGGTTAGAGTTTGTTCCTTCCTCACACGATTTCAGCGTGTTTGGAATTTGTTTACCTCTTCTCACGATTTCAGCGTGATTAGAGTTTGTTCCTTCCTCACACAATTTCAGCGTATTTGGAATTTGTTTACCTCTTCTCATGATTTCAGC